GGTGCTTCGTCAACCTTACCCCTCTCCTGCAAGACCGATCGCACAGAGGGGGAGTGTGGGGGGGGTTGGGGGCCGGGGGTGTCTTTCCGAAGCTCTCCCTCTCTGCTTTCGAGTCGCTAGGAGAGACCGAAAGGCTTTTGTCCTCCCGGGGCAACTGGGCTGGGGGACAAGCGTCTTGTGACCCGCGCCAGGCTGTCACCAGGCGGCTCCTGGGGCCGAGCACGGGGATCCGGGGTAAGGGCGCGCTCTGGGTGGCAGCGGCACTCCTGGTTCAAGGCAGGCGGGCCAAGAAACGGGCAGGGCGGGGTTCCAGGAAAACGAACGGATGGTGTGATGACAGATTCTCAAAAGGCTGTCCTAGTTCCTCTCTCCCGTCTCGTACTAGACCCGATCAAGGCAGAGCTGCTGAGTTTCTTTCTTACGCACGCATCTGTGCAATCTTAACACGCCCCGAGATCGCTGTGACGTGTGTGCTTTTGGCTTGTGTTGTAAATATCGCTCGGGATGGGGTGGAGTTTAGCTCTCCGGAACAGCCCTGCCGGAGGAAGCTTGGTTTTCAGGGCAAGCCCCCCCGCAGGCAGAGAGCACCGTGAGAGAGAGGCGGGTGGGCCAGAGGGAGGCGTGCTGACATTTGCAGAAGGAAAGATGAAGGCCCGGTAGGACCACCAGAAATGGAGCTCCTTCTGGCTTTTCACGTATCGCCCATGTGCTTTTGCGCAAACCCTTCCTTTCGTCTACCAGGACTAGGAACTTGGCTTTTAAAATGAAATGATTTCAACAAAAAAGTTGAGGGACTGAATGAAGATTTGGGTTCGGCCCATCCACCCACTCCTCCCTAAAGGGTCTCCTGGTGCAACTGGTTCCTCAATAGCAGAGCTATGCACCAGCCCCTGCACGTGGGGCAGGCGGGGATCTCCTTCCGCGACCCCAGAAGGCCTTTGGGCAGCTCTGCCCCATTTCCCACCAATGATCACAGTGCTGTTGATGCATTTGGCCCCCTGGGGCTTGTGGGCCCCTTCCTTGGCCCTGCCCCTCGACATTGGGCCGAGCGGGACCTTTGCAGGAACGGAGGGCGCCACCACGTGCTGGCGCCGCTGCCACTTTGCCTATGGACTTTGCCTGGCTGCAGCGACAAGTCCTGGCACCCTCCAGAGGTGCTGGACTCCAACTCTCAGCCAGCCTGCGTTGCCCTGCCTGACGGGTGGAGGATGGGGGCTGGAGTCCAGCGCATTGGGAGGGCACCATTTGGGGGATAGCTTTGCTCCACCTTCCACCCCGTCCTCCCTGGGGCTCTGGGCTTCCTCCCTGCCGGATGTGTTCCTCTGAGGCCTTCCCTTGTTCAGCCAAGCAAGGCTTGGGCCCGCGGGTGGCTATGGAGAGGAGTCCGTGTGCACTGCCAGCTTGGGTGGGAGACCCGTTGCTTTGTACCTGGCCCCTGTGCTCCAGGCGCAGCGGGCCCTGAGTGGCCCAATCCTGCCAGGGACGGACTGATGCTCCCCGGGTGGAGCGAAATAGCCCACGGAGCCCAGTGGGCCGCAGGAGGTGGCTTTGGGGCTTGGGAAGAAACAGGGCCTCCGCTGGCTGCTCTGCGGAGAGATGCTGATGCCTTGTGGGTGCAACGTCTGGGGGGTACGCGAAAGGAGGAAGTGAAATCCCGAGAGAAGCCTGCATCTGGGGGGTCTCCCCCTTGGCTGCCAAGCCGTGGGATACGGGTTCTGCAGAGGCTCCTTCGGCTGCTCGGAGGAGCTCTGCTTGTGATGGTGCTTTTGGGGTGGACTTCTTTGGGGGGCTCGCTGGCCATCCTCCTCCCCCCCCTCGCTGGGCTGTTTCTCCGAGGGGCAGCCAAGCCCCCTTCAACTTCCTTTTGGCCTTTCTCGTAGAAGCATGGCTGGTTATCCCCCAGCCCCACCATCTTACGACGAGAACGCCAAGCACAAATAACCCAGCTCCCCCCCCCCCGGCGGGGGAAATTGCCCGGAAAGGGGGACCAGCCCCGCCAGCCCCCTACTATGCTCCGAACCAACCTCAGCCCTATGGCATGCAACCCG